TCGTCCCTTTAATGTTGACGTCCCTGAGTTAAATCAATAACGATATAACAAAGTCTCTCCCACTGGACGTCACAATAGCTAGATGTAGTTATATACAGATATTGATATAACCAGTGTAACGTGTATACGAATATAATTAAGTGATGCATGCAATATTTGATGCGTAACAGGAAATTTATGTAAAGTCTAATATTTGAGAATGGATTCAATGATCTGTTATATGATAGTTATTGAGACATCTGTAATATTGAAGTTTGTCATTAGGGCTAATTTTGATAGTGATCTAAATAGTAGAACCGATTACTTATAACTCTAGTCAAATTTGCCGATCGTTTGGCCAAGTTCAAAATGATTTGATTTTGAATCTGGTCAATTGATCTGCAAATTTGACTAGAGTTATAAGTAAGCGGTTCTAGATCACTATTACTATTACTATCAAAATTAGCCCTTACGTAACCCAGGTTCGCTCAAACTTGATAAAACGCTGGATATTCACTGTCACTCTAGAAAAGATGGTATTCCAAATTTTGTTTATGCTTCTAACATTAGTAGTTGAGAGAAGATAACAAATGAATAATGCTGTGTTATATTTTAATCTGCAATGTTAGATTACTTATTTACATCACTGATATAAACCCTTTAGAATTTTTTTTACTAATATGAAATATTTCATATTCGTCAAAATATAATACATCTCTAACTGGTTTTCATAATAAAATTCTCCTCCGTGCATAAACCAAAGCCATTGCAAAGCATAATCCATAATCTTGTACGCGACTTAAAATAAATTCTGAATTGTACCATTTTTCAATGAAAAAAATAAAGTTATCATTGCAATTCTTATAATGATCAAGCAATGTTTCAACTGGGTTATCCATCCAATAGGATTATATCCACCAAGAATTTAATCGGTACCTTTAACCGTCATAGATACTACAAGATATGATTTCTTATTACATAAATTTAAAATGAATTAGCGGTAAAACCATCTCTAATTCCAATTGATTATTTGTTGCAGGATATGCGTTAGCTTTTTTTATCAACCCATGAAGCAATTTCTGCTGCATGCGCATTAATAACTGTCAAAATGGTTCAATGATCCTATTCGGTAATATTGATGTCAAAATTACACAGGATGGAAGAATTTTAAAGATATTAGCAGATTTGAAATCATAAATTTTTTCATTATATCTTTCCAAAAAATTTTTTCAAAGATTTATTGATATGGTTGCACATTATTAAGAATATCATCACTTGCAGTGTTGTTATTAGCCTTAAGTCCAATAATATATCATTAGCCCTAGCCCTTGTGGCTAATTGGACATATGGTTAATTCGAAAGTGGGTATTTAACCTTGATTGTTGTCTAAATGTCCAATTCGTTAATTAGCCATATGTCCAATTGGCCTTGAAGGCTAGGGCTAATTGGACATGTTAATAAATATAATTTAAATTTTTTAGTATAATTAACAATTAAACTAGTTTTGAGCTTAAAATTTAGCACATATCAAGACTACTAGGATAGAAATATATAACTAAATGTACAATATTAAATCAAAGTTTTAATATATTTTTTAAAAATTATTAATTTATTTATTTAGTTTTTAACTAATTGCTATTTGCATATTTCATTTATAATAATATTTTTTATTAATATGTTAGGTTTATCACGTCATTACCTTCGGCTCACTATTACAAACGTATTTTGTTCTTCAACTTATTTTGTCCCTTCAGCAATAACAAAGATTTTAATCATTAAATAATATATGATTTACTTTCATTATGATAATCAGAATGTCCAGAGGCAAATTCTGGTCGCAATTCATTGCATATTTTCATTGCGAGACCAATAATAAATCTATAATCATCTAAAGGTCTTTGCCCGCTTAACGTCTCTGGCCTGATAACTTCAAAATTACAAACATCAACAGTTTATATAAACTCTTGGCACAATAAAGTTTTTGCTACAACATAGCTTCATTCCTTTTAGATAATTATAGATCTGAGATGTAAGATTGCATTCTTTATTAATGCGTTGATATTGTAAAATATTACACTGTAGAATAAACATATTATCTTTAAGTAGTTTCACCTTAGTTTGCTAAGTAAATTCTTGATAATCAGTTTTTTAAATAATTATAAGATCATTAAGTATTTGTTTGCTTCAGCATTTGAGTTAACCCATATACCACATACTTAATACCAGCTAATATAATTTTTAAATGTTATAGTTTATACAATATGTTTAGCTCAATATACATTTAATAAATTGTACAATAAATAATAAATTAACTTATTTCTTTCAAAAAATGCTAAAACCAATATGATTTAATTAATTCAATGAAGTCCTTTCAATGTAATTTACTGCAAGTTAGAACTTTTCATGCAATTACTAATTCCTCACTTCTAACTACCCATGCTTAAATGGGTGCTGGTCAAAATCCCGACAAGCACGATCCCGACAGGTCATAATCCTGACAAAAAAATCCTGACAGTCAAAAATCCTGACAATTAAAAATCCTGACAATCAGTAGAAATCCCAAATATGAGGTATGTTTAAAGTGAAATAGACTCTTATAATTTAATTAACTTCACTTTAGATGAGGGCTAGGCTCGGGTTAGCTATATTTTTTTTATCAAATTTTTAATTGACAGGATGTCGGGATTTTTGCTGTCGGGATTTTTTGTCAGGATTATGATTTGTTGGGATTTCGCTTGTTGGGATTATGACCCAAACCTGCTTAAATTGTTATGTCGAGACTATACGTTTGATAAAAAAACTCTAAAATTATTATTAGGAGTATCATTTTCTATGATCAAGATTCTTTTAATCAAAACTTACTTATTCTTTCTATATAAATCCCACCTTAACAACAAGTTAACACATTAGTTTATATAATCTATAATCCTAAAATAACAGTTATAATTAGTCTATTATATTTAATAATCGAAGTGTAACAACTCATATAGTAAACATAATTATAGAATTAATAATAGCACTGCCGTGCTTAAAGTTAGAATTTTCTTGAAGTTGCAGCTTCAAGTGTCTGAAGTTGTATCTGTATAAAATTTCTAAATAATACATATAAGATCTAATTTTAAGGGTTTATTTTAGGCAGTTAAACTCAAGTACTTGAAATTGCAACTTCAAACATAATAGCCATATATAAGCTCATAATTTCTATCTAAATAACAAGCATAACTTACATAAAAATAGATAAGAAATTGGCTAGCAATACAATATAAAATAATTTATTTATAAAATAGCAAGTAGAAAATAAAACTATTTATTGAATAAGATAAGTCCTTAGAAATAATAATAATAAAATATCATTTTCAAAATAACTACCAAAAGAAAAGAATTCACTTATTAATATAAAAAATGCAAAAGAACTATACATACTACTATATATAAAATAAAAAAAGATCTCTAAATTTTATACTATTCTTTTTTATTCAATTGACAAATTTAAGTAAGTGAGTTGTTCAAGTAAATCTGTGAATAAATTTAATAATTTCCATTTTGCTTCATGAACTTCAGCAGGATATGTAATACCCAAATCTTTAAAAGAATCTAAAGTTGTATCATTATTATATAATGATCATTGTCAACCAATTCATTGATTTTTTCTTTATCTACTAGCTTATCTATTTAGATACTAAATAGCACTAATTATCAATGGTTTGAATATCTCTACTATTTGATTTATTTAATTCTTCAACATAAGTATCTTCAATATAGATATTTTCAACATGAATATTTTCAACTTGACTGTCTTTACCATGGGTATCTTCAATATGGGTATCTTTAACATAGGTATCTTAAACATAGGTATCTTTATCATAAGTATCTTCAATATAAGTATCTTTAATATAGGTATCATTAACATAGATACCTTCAATATAAGTATCTTCATAAGTATCTTCATCACTTAATAAATCAAAACTTTCATTATCAGAAATTTTAAATATATATTTGTGCTTGTGTTGCAATATTTGTTTTTAGATTTTTTTTCTTGCCTAGTTAAAGTTTCACTTAAATTATCACATTGTAATTTATTTTTTAATTGACATATTTTTAAACCTTTATTAGACTAAAATTAAAACTAATAGTTTAGCTATATTAAATAATAATTTAAAATCAGGCAATAGAAATAGAATGAGTTTAATTGGTTAAACCTATTTTTAGTTATAAATTACTATCAATCAGTTTTATTTGATTGTATAAATTTAATCTATTTTAAAAAATATCCATATTTTTAAAGCAATTCTTTTGTATTATCTGCAATATAATTCCAAAATCTTAAAAGATTATTAAACTGCTTATATGTTTTTGATCAGAAAGATTTTTTCTGTATGATACTGCTTTAATTCTGCAAGAATAACTAAAGATTCCTAATTAATCCAATTAGTATAATAGTAACAAACTCATCTTTCTAAATAAGTATATAAAATATTCAAAAATGTAAAATTAAATTTTGTGTCTTTATACTTTGAATGAAGTAAAAAAGAAAGAAATAAAAGGAGTTGTTTTTATTCAGCCCACCATTTCTTAATCTTTTGAATATAATAATTTTGTAAAGAAAATTTATAATTAGATTTTAAAAACATTAAAATCTATCCAAATGCATGAAGAACTTCATACAACTGTATACTATCAGATTGCAATTATTTAGAGCTATACAATAAAGTTCAACTAATTTATACAACTCTTGTAACTTTTTTTACTAATTTAAGCTTGAAAATTTTCTTGAATATTAATAGAAAACCTTCTATAATATATACTTTTAAGATCAAACCTTAACAATATACAATTAAAAAAAAATAAAAAAATCTATTTTTAGAGGTTATATATATTTAAGCTAGAATTTGAATATATATTTAGTGAGGGTATGTATTTATAGAAAATGTGTTTACAAAAGTTTATTGTATAATTATAATATACTAATTTTTAAAGCTGCTTAGATTTTAAAGTACTTGAAAAACTGTAAAAGTGGCTATTTTAATATATATAGTTGCTTGTTTATAATCAGCTATAAAAAAGTTTGATTTGTAAAAATAAGTAACTATTTCAATTGCTTCTTCAGCAATAGTTTTTTTTTTTTTATTTATTTATTTTAAATTTATTTTAAATTTGCT